TGTGGACTTCAACTCCCAGAATTCCCCAGCCAGCATGCCAGCTGGGGAATTCTGGGAGTTGAAGTCCACACAGCTAAAAGTTGCTGAGGTTGAGAAACACTGCTTTAGAGAGGAGCGGATATAATGGGGCAGGGGTGGAGGAAAGAGATTTCAACCTATAAAAATAGCTGCTGTCAGCATTGGAAAATTTACCCATTGACTTCAAAAGCAATACCCCCTCTCTTTTTAAAATTCAGCTATATTCCCTCCTGTCCCTGCTTTTAATGGAGCTTGAAATGAAGGCATCCATTTCTTTCTGCCTTCCACCCCCTCTTCTCTTCCTGTCTCCACATTTTCTTCTTGTTAAGGTGTGAATCTGAAGCTAAAATCCTTGACAGCCTTGAGACTGCAGTTCTATATTTATGTGCAAATAACAGGTACAGCTGTAATAACAGCTGCCCTTTGCCCAAGAGTTTTGCCCAGTGCAGTTGGGGAGCAACCTCTTTGCATAAGGTGGCGTCAGAAGGATGCGTAACAGTAGCATACAGAGACAAATTACTGAAAGCGTGAAGAGGAAAAGACCACAAAGGCATCTGCAGGTTTAACATTAACTGGCTCACAAGAAGCTGCCTTATTCTGAATCAGAACATTGATGTGCCTAGCACAGAATTATCTCTTCACTCCCTGGTAGGAGGAGAGTATTTGTCCATGCAGTTCCTCTGAGTCCAGCCAGACTCAATGGCATCTAATGCCACAGCAGTTCTGCAAGATTTCAGACAGAAGCCTTTCTCAGCATTACTTGGAGGCTATAAGAAATTGAATATGGACCCATTTGTAAACAAAGCACATGATCAAGCACTGAGTTACATGTTTCCTTTAGAGATTGGTTATCATTCTGATTAATCATTTAATCCCAGCAACTTCATCAGATCTTTCTTCATGAAGTCATGAAAATTACCCCCACTTTGTCACCATGTCAGAAGCATGTTGAGCCACGTAATGATTTTCAGTCTCGGTGTGAGCAGTCTGCCATTCATTTCTCAAGCAAACCAATTCTTCAGGTGTAGCAATATGAATACTGTCTTGATGGTCCAACTTTTATGCAAGGAAGCTTCATGTATTCATATGAAAACTGTGTCACTTCCTGCTATGCTTTATGTGTCCTTTCTTGTACAATTACTAGCATGCTTCTAAGCATTCACTGAAAATATCCTTTCCACTACTGCTCCCACCCAAAAATTACTAACAGTGGAAATGACTTCACTGCATCTGTCTGTGAAGAAGGGCCCCGCCTCTACAAGTTTACACACAAAGATTTTTCCACAGCCACCCTCCATGATCTTATTTAGGGAGGAAATCTAGGTTTAAGACCAGAATTCCATTAAATGTTATGCAGAGCATAAATCCATCAAGTTTCTGAAGTCTACTATAGCTTTCTTCTCCAAGAGATAATATAGCACAATTAAGGTTTAAATTTAATAAGTCAAATTGCTTCATTTGACAAATTGCAGAAAATTACTTGTACTTGTTTCTTATACTTTTATTCATTTAAGACTGATCTTTCCTGGATTGTGAAGCAAACTTGGGCTTGGATAGTACTTGGATGGAAAGGAATACCACAGCTAGACTGGGAAGCATTTTAAAAAAATCCCAGAGGAAGGCGAACAGTTTTCTTACAATATCAATAAAATTACCTGACTGTGTCAGCAGCTGAAATGTATGTATGTATGTATTTAGGGTATTGCTGTCAGGGTTGACCACAGAAAATGATACAAAAAGAGTAGTCAATGGCTAGACATTTCTCTGTATTCATGGACAAATATCGCTTTGATGAATGTCTTCTGCATCTGGCATCTAGCCAATCTTATCTTCCTCTGCTTTGTGATCAGAGATCCTTTCTTCTTTCTTTTGGTTGTTGCTGCTGTTGTTGTTGAATGAGTGGTTAAAAGCCCTGGAGGGTTTCCTCTTTTGTCTACCTATCTTTTCTTTTTAATTTCCCCAGTAATCTTTGACCGAGCTTTTACCTTCCAAAAGCAATATGAATGCTCCGAACCTCCAGGAGCTCTTCCTTTTCATTCTTGAATTATGTTTATCTCCTTTGTGAGTCATTCACTAACTGGGAAAGCTTATTCTGTGGCTTCCCCTTCTGCTCCTTCCCTATTGCTCTTTCTTAGCAAGCATCACTGCAGACCTTCCTGCCTTTCATGTGCTCTCATTTCTTCCCAGCAGAAACTGACCCTGCTGGCAAAGGGGGTTCTCTCCAGAGGCACTTCTGCACTTCCTGAATGTGCTCTGGGAGGCTGGGGGGATTCTCCAGAGCAGATCTG